ACCTTGACCTTTGACCTTGTGACCCCAAAATCAATACGGGTCTTCTACCCAATATGGACAATCATCCTATGAAGTTTGAACACTGTGGGCCAAATGGAACTTAAGTTATGCTCCGGAAACTGTTTTCAGTTTCAAGGTCATAGTGACCTTGACTTTTGACCTTGTGACCCCAAAACTAAAGGGGTCTTCTACCCAATATGGACAATCATCCTATGACGTTTGAACACTGTGGGCCAAATGGAACTTAAGTTATGCTAAAAAAACTGTTTTCAGTTTTAAGGTCATAGTGACCTTGACCTTTGACCTTGTGACCCCAAAATCAATAGGGGTCTTCTACCCAATATGGACAATCATCCTGTGAAGTTTGAACACTGTGGGCCAAATGGAACTTAAGTTATGCTCCGGAAACTGTTTTCAGTTTTAAGGTCATAGTGACCTTAACCTTTGACCTTGTGACCCCAAAATCAATAGGGGTCTTCTTCCCAATATGGACAATCATCCAATGAAGTTTGAACACTGTGGGCCAAATGGAACTTAAGTTATGCTCCGGAAACTGTTTTCAGTTTTAAGGTAATAGTGACCTTGACCTTTGACCTTGTGACCCCAAAATCAATACGGGTCTTCTACCCAATATGGACAATCATCCTATGAAGTTTGAACACTGTGGGCCAAATGGAACTTAAGTTATGCTCCGGAAACTGTTTTCAGTTTCAAGGTCATAGTGACCTTGACTTTTGACCTTGTGACCCCAAAACTATAGGGGTCTTCTACCCAATATGGACAATCATCCTATGACGTTTGAACACTGTGGGCCAAATGGAACTTAAGTTATGCTAAAAAAACTGTTTTCAGTTTTAAGGTCATAGTGACCTTGACCTTTGACCTTGTGACCCCAAAATCAATAGGGGTCTTCTACCCAATATGGACAATCATCCTATGAAGTTTGAACACTGTGGGCCAAATGGAACTTAAGTTATGCTCCGGAAACTGTTTTCAGTTTTAAGGTCATAGTGACCTTAACCTTTGACCTTGTGACCCCAAAATCAATAGGGGTCTTCTACCCAATATGAACAATCATCCTATGAAGTTTGAACACTGTGGGCCAAATGGAACTTAAGTTATGCTCCGGAAACTGTTTTCAGTTTTAAGGTCATAGTGACCTTGACCTTTGACCTTGTGACCCCAAAATCAATAGGGGTCTTCTACCCAATATGGACAATCATCCTGTGAAGTTTGAGCACTGTGGGACAAATGGAACTTTAGTTATGCTCCGGAAACTATTTTCAGTTTTAAGGTCATAGTGACCTTGACCTTTGACCTAGTGCCCCCAAAATCAATAGGGGTCTTCTACCCAATATGGACAATCATCCTATGATGTTTGAACACTGTGGGCCAAATGAAACTTAAGTTATGCTCCGGAAACCAAATTGCTAACGGACGGACGGACGTACGGACGGACGGACGGACAGACGGACACCAGGGCGTATAACATAATATGCCCGAAATTCTTTCGGGCATATAAAAACAAGGGTGATCCTGTTAAACCAGAAAATTATAGACCAATAACATTATTAAGTTGCCTAGGCAAAGTTTTCACAAGCATATTAAATAAAAGAATCACTGATTATGTAGAGTCAAATGATATTGTTAATAACACACAAACAGGATTTAGAAAAGGGTTTTCAACCTCAGATAATATATTCATTCTACACCATATCATTCAATATTTAAATATTACCGGAAAAAAACTATTTTGCTCATTTATTGATTTAAAACAGGCATTTGATACTGTGTGGAGAAATGGTCTATGGGAAAAATTAATTAATGCCAATATACAAGGTAAATGTCTGCAGGTTATACAAAATATGTACAAAGGAATTAAATCATGTGTGAAGGTAAATTGTCAACTATCTAACTTTTTCTCATGTAATATAGGTGTTCGTCAAGGGGAAAATTTATCTCCCTTGCTCTTCTCGATGTATTTGAATGATCTTAAAGATTTCTTTCAAAATAATAGTAATACACGTGGAATTTTGCTTCATAATGATCAGAATATAAACGAGCTATACAATTTTTTACAAATCTTTATTCTGTTATATGCAGATGACACTGTTATTATGGCCGAGACAGCAAATGACTTAAAAGAAGCGCTTAATACATATGAAAGATATTGCGATATTTGGAAACTTACAGTCAATATTTCTAAAACCAAGATAGTTGTATTTTCAAAAGGGAGACAAAGAAATTATCATTTCACTTATAAAAATGAACAAATCGAAATAGTAAATGAATATAAATACCTCGGCATATTTTTTAATAGAAGTGGTTATTTCGCTAAAACTAAGACACATATTGCAGAACAAGCTACAAGATCGATGTACAGCCTGATAAGAAATTCAAATAGATTAAATTTACCAATTGACTTACAAATTGAACTTTTTAATAAAACTGTTAAACCAATATTACTTTATGGTTCTGAAATCTGGGAATACGGTAATCTTGACGTTATTGAACGCGTACAACTCAAATTTTTAAAACATATCCTTAAACTTAAACGTTCGACGGCCAGTTATTTCATATACGGTGAAACGGGATGCATGCCTTTGTCTGTAGATATCGGAGAAAGAATAGTTTCATTTTGGGCGCGTCTCCTTCAGAACGAAAATGGTTTAATACCAAATAAATTATCATACTTTGTATATCGTCATATGCTAAGAAATACAGTAGATATTAATGATAATAATTTTGAACGTAATTATCCGTGGATTTATAATCTAAAATCAATACTAATAAAATGCGGTATCAACAATGTTTGGATTGATCATAATTTTCCCGGTACCAAATGGTAAAATTAACAGTAAAACAAAAGCGAAAAGATCTTTTCTTAAATGAATGGTATTCAAAGATAAATGAATCGAGCAATAGTTCTTTTTACAAAATTTTTAAAAAATCTTTTGGAATAGAACCTTATCTTTCGTACTCCCAAAATGCAATGATTTTTAATTATGTAAAGTTCAGAACAAGAAACCATAGATTACCAGTTGAAACTGGAAATTGGTCAAATATACCTGTCAATGAAAGAATGTGCATTTTTTGTAGAAATATAATTGGTGATGAGTTTCATTATCTTTTCGAATGTAATAGATTTTCTAATGAAAGAAGACAATTTATAAAACCAAATTTTTATAGACGTCCTAATATGTATAAATTAGAACAACTTTTTACAATGAAAGATTCGCCTGCATTTTATAAACTATGCAAATTCTTAATGATTATTATAAGAAATGTAAGAATGTAATCAAATATTTATGTTTTCATTTTAAAGTCAGTTGTTATTTTGTTATGTTCTGAGATATAGTTTTGTTTTAATGATATTCACTTACCACTTTCTTACTATACAGCAAAGGTCCTTTATACCTCACATATACTTTTTTTCATTTCTCATAAGACTAAGTTTTTGCTGTACTTTTATAGTATTAAACGATTACTCACTGGTTTTTTTCATGAATCATCTTTCATTTCAAAATTTGCTTTTTAGAAATAAATACAAGTATAGTAAATAAGCATTTTGTATGGAAGTTAAAATATTACTTTATTTATTTTACAACTTTTATGACAAATTATATCACATCTATAGCTACATTCTCCTAGTAATAAATATCTTACATTCTTTTCAAGCAGTATTTAAATTTTGTAAAATTCAGGTTTGCATTTTCTTAATAAGTTAAAAAAAAAATGTTTCCTAAGCAAAATATGCATATAATTTAATAATATGTAATAGATATGTTGATATTGTTTAGTAATTATATTCTGATTTAATTTGTATAAATGCCTCGTTAAATATTTTGACATTATCCTCATATTACATGTTGTATGCATGTTTGAGTGAATAAAAGATGTGTTATGTGTTATGTTGTTCTACGTTTAGGTACAATTAAACCAAAATGTTTCAAATTCAATGTTGTTTTTTAAAGCAAAATAAGCATCTACTGGCCAACTGCTCGCTCATATTCCATTATTGAAGCAATATAAATGCCATTCTGAGAGACTTAAAGTATGTTTATTTCAAAGATTGAATGTGTCTTTTATACCCCTTCACCATTATTTAGTGAAATATTTTACGAGATTGTTTCTTGTGTGAATTTTCAATTGCGATTTTCAGATTTGAATTATAGCCTACTTAAATATTCAGTAGAACATTTAAAATTATCAGAATTAAAACTGATTTTGAGGCAAGTACGTGCAGGTGTCCAGCGACGACTTGAGAATCATTCGATCTCAGTTAGTAGTCAAACGTCCGAGACAAATCAGACAGACTGGAAACGTTTACGTTAATGCGCTATATAATCTTCAATATGTAGTACAATATGTTTTGTTTTGTTTTTCGCCTTGATAATATAAGTTTTTATTTACCTGTGTAATATATCGTGAAAACAAACTAAATTAATGATTCAAGCAGACATGTAATATTTTGAAACAATAAGTAAAGTTAAATTGAAACTTAAATTGTTGCTATGTTTCTGGCTGAACATTACTACACATAGTCAATGTAACTCCAAATGTCTCACTAAAAACCTCGTATCACGCAATAAGTATGTAGAATTTACTGTTATGTTTTGCTTTAAACCCAGTATCTTCTAAATTGGGTTTTAGAATTAAGAATACCCATGCGTTTTCTTATTTACGACGAAATAGAAACTAAATAGATTATTTGACATTTGAGCTGTATGCTTCTATAAAAAGTTATATAATTTGGAAGATTCTGTATATATTCTAAAATACAAAGACATTTCTATCTTAATGCGGTAAATCATTAATTATAAGTTGTTACAGTTCATTCTCAAAAAGACAAAAATGGCATACGACTTTGTGACAGTAAGGCAACGATATTGCATCAATTTTCTTTCTATCTTACTTGAATATTTTAAGATATTATAGCATCTGTTTTACCATTTTCCCTGGGACTGGCAGAGTTGCTATTAATTTTCTTATTACGTTAGATACGAGCGTGACTCTAGTGCCAGCGCTCAAAGGAATGCATCGGAAGAGTTAGAACAGAAGGTGAAATCATTAGAAAAAGAAACGGAACGTCTTCAACACGAATTGCAGGCTGAAAAGACTGAAAAATATAACGTTTTTAAAAGGTAAGTTTTAACATACTGAAGTGACTATAAAATATTTGAAATGGTTTATAGCTAAATCCATTGCAAACAATGTACATTTGCAATTATATCTGGTACTTATATATTCATCCATGAAATGTTATGAAAATTCTTTTATATCGGACATGGTCACTTACGTCGTAATAAGAAAAATGAGAATTTAACATCGTTTGCTACGTAAATATTTATTAAAATGGAATAGCAGTTGTGAGAAAAGGTCTTTTGATGGTTCCGAGGAAAAAAGCACGGTTTTTACATCTCGATAAGCATATTTTTGTTTTGAAAACAAGGGAAGCAAACGTGGGTTAAGATAACAAATATTACTTTGTTGTATGCTAATGTTTGATTATTGTCCTGATGAATAGATTATTTGAACGCTGTTACAAATTCTGGGCAGACCCTTCTGTTAATTTTATATGTTTTTAATGTCATACGCCAAAATCTAGTTTCCCTAATAATCGATACTTATCAACGGCAAACATGTTGGATCAATCATCCTTATAGTCGGCAATGACTTTTCTTTTTTTTAAACAACACCAAAGAATAAGAACATTTTTGTTTCGGATAATTTGTTCAACTTTTCAAATTTTATATAATATAACCAAATATATTTATTCAGTCTTTTTTGTGTCACATTTTTTGGTGATTTTAGATTAGAACGAGACAAGTGCGCTGTTGAGGAAGAGCTAAAGAGAATTGAAAAGCACTCTTTAAATGAAACAGTTGCGCTTATAAAACAAATCAAAAGGTATGAAAGACAGTGATTCATAAAAGAATATTTGTGTTCATTTTGATAGTAGGTGAGAATTTGTTAAATGAAAGCCTGAGTCATGGATGAAATGAGATTTTGTATATTAAACATAAAAAGTTAATGGTATTTATACAAAAACGATATCAAGCAAGAATTGTTAAACTAAATTGAAAGATATAATCATTTATGTCTCTGTAGCACAAGAAAGACTTTCTAATCACAGCAAAGTCGATATATATATTCATGTTCTTATTGATAGTCTTCGACAAGAAAATGACGAGATTAATAGTGCAAGGGAAAATGATCGTCACCATTTTAAGGCCGAGATGAAGGTAAAAGAGTGTGGCCTTCAAAGGTAGGTTGAACTAATGCTTTTACAGTGTTTCTCTTAGTCTGATAAATTGAAATCCGTAACAAATAAGACGTTCAATGTCGAAATTCTAGAACAAATACTTTTTCACAACAGAAATTTATAGTAAACGTGAATATTATAAACATAACGACATAAAGTTTTTTGGACATATTTGAGTTTTAATTTCGATTGTCGAAATGTCGGAACGCTTACAATGATTTGCTTCTCTTTAAAAGTGATTTACAAATGATGATTCATTTTTAAAAACTAAGTAAAAAAGCTTGCAGGAAGAGAAATAACTGTATTAAGAAAACAAACAAACTCTGGTCTATACATACATTAACAACAATATTTCACATTGTAATATAGCTAGACACCAATTTTAAGGTCAGACACCTAACCTAGATCAAAGAGTTAAACATGACTGTCACTGCAAGATATCTTTCCGGCCGGATGTGGGTCTGTTTTCAGTTCGACTTCCTGTAAACTTAAAGAGAAGAACTGAATATAAAAAGAGTTTTCATTTGTCAATTTAAAATTACAAAATGAAATCTGGAAATCCCATTGGCCATTCTGAAATAAAATGTAAAGAATAGTTCTTGTCATTCTAAGATAATTTTGAACTAAAATGTAAAGACTTATTATTACGATTTTGAAATAAAATAAAATGTAAAGGATAGTTCTGAAAAAAAATGTACTGGATAGTTCTTTTACTGTTAAGATAAATTGCTCATTAAATTCTGTTTAACAATCTTCTTGCATTTAGATCTAATTACATTTTTATAGTGAACAGTTTATTTTACGTACGAAAATACTACGTTTATTTTACACAAGATCTAAGGTCTAACTTTTGTCTAAAATAACGAGAATAATATATCAGAACTTATCAGGTAACCTTAATTTATGATTTAAATAAGTGTCTTTTATTTTATATGATTATTGGTGTGTTCAATTGATGTAATGTTTAAACTTTTTATATATTTTTGTTTATGAATGAAGATTTTATAAAGAACTGTTATTACCTTACCAACTGCGTAGATATTGGTGTTAGAAATTTGTTTAGGTTTGTTTGCAAACAAATACATCTTAAACAGTTCAATTTGTCATCATTAATAACCCTACAATAAATTATTATGTCATTGTTATACAAGCTATGCAGACATTTCTACATGACTTTACTTGGGAAACTAAGAACTAACATTTGCAAGTATGTATTGTGATGTTTTGTATATAATGACATGCTTGGAATGAGACAATAAACTAAACTAAACTTTGCAAGTAAACCAGTTTGGCCGAGTTTCTTTTTTTAAAGATACTTGGTTTATATACATAATTTATTTTAGTTCGATTGTGTAGGAAGCTATTAGCTTATAAACACACTTTCAAACCAACCAGTACTGAGCAATTAGTGTAGAGTTTCTTGCTCGAGGAAACAACGACTTGCCCCTGTCAGGGTTTGAACCCATGCGGCTAGCAATCATAAGATTACCACTCGGCCATGTCGCCCCTCTAAATAAAGATACTTATTGTTTATACGTCCGTTCGAAAAATAAAAGTTTGGAACATTTGTCTCATTACAGATTAGAAGATATGACACGAGAGAAATGCGCAGTTGAGGAAGAGTTAAAGAGTCTTCTAAAACAGTCTTCTGATGACAAATATGCTCTTGAAAAGAGTATGAAAAGGTTAAAATAATTAAAAGTGTTTTGAAAGAAAAACTCTTGTACGTTTTGTTACAAAAGACAGAATTTGAGAATAAAAACCCTACAATAAATTATTATGTCATTGTTATACAAGCTATGCAGACATTTCTACATGACTTTACTTGGGAAACTAAGAACTAACATTTGCAAGTATTATTGTGATGTTTTGTATATATGAAATGCTTGGAATGAGACAATAAACTAAACTTAACTTTGCAAGTAAACCAGTTTGGCCGAGTTTCTTTTTTTAAAGATACTTGGTTTATATACATAATTTATTTTAGTTCGATTGTGTAGGAAGCTATTAGCTTATAAACACACTTTCGAACCAACTAGTACTGAGCAATGAGTGTAGAGTTTCTTGCTCGAGGAAACAACGACTTGCCCCTGTCAGGGTTTGAACCCATGCGGCTAGCGATCATAAGATTACCACTCGGCCATGTCGCCACTCTAAATAAAGATACTTGTTGTTTATACGTTCGTTCAAAAAATAAAAGTATGGAACATTTGTCTCATTACAGATTAGAAGATATGAAACGAGAGAAATGCGCAGTTGAGGAAGAGTTAAAGAGTCTTCTAAAACAGTCTTCTTCCTTTAGGACATTGAGTACTTTTGTTATGGTCATTGGGTTTACTTTTATATGTTTCTACATGATCATTTAAGTGTTTTACTTATTTAACCTTTTGTAACCATGACAACTGTTAGAATTTCACTTGGCGGGGATTCATTTTATTTACACTGTCTCGTTTGTGGGAACATGGTGGGGCTAAAAGCGAGGTTTGGTGCACCATTAACCGGTTTAAACTCCCCAGCAGTCATTATTATGCTGCTGACCGTTCCAAGGCGGCGCCCCACTGTGTTCCTCAGATGTATGTCTTATGTTGTTTCATACTGTTTTGGCGACACTTTTGCTTGTGTCCCTTGTTGTTTTCTCGTCTGCGGTAAGTATCTTCCCCATTGCCTCTAGTTTTTGTTTCTTTGATTACTTCCCACCCCCTCCCCCCCGGTCCCCTTCCCCTTTGTGGGCCTATTTTTATTTTCTTTGAATTCCTAATCAGTTGCAGATTAATTATCATTTAATGATTAACCTGTCCGTGCTCTGTCTTTGCCCTGTTCTGTTTTTGTTTGGGGTCCCCCTGGGCTCCTTGCCATTGGTTCTTGTTGCTGGGTCATGTGGCGGTTGTGTTCATTGGGCGCCGCCTTTCCTTGTTGATCTTGTTTATCATATTTTCTGATGACAAATTTGCTCTTGAAAAGAGTATGAAAAAGTTAAAATAATAAAAAGTGTTTTGAAAGAAAAACTCTTGTATGTTTTGTTACAAAAGACAGAATTTGAGAATAAATAGTGATGAATAAAATACAAAATCCACGGATTTCATTAAACAAAACCCAATGGAATTATTTACATATAATAGATGATACTTAACAAATGAATGAAATTTTAACTAAATTGAAAGAGTGGAAGAAAAAATCATTTAACTCTTTCTAGTATTTAGACTACATATGTTCACTGTAAATTGATATTTTTTCATGTATTTTATTGATAGTCTTCGACAAGAAAAGGACATGATTATGCACGAAAGAGACAATGATAGACTCAAATATGAGGCTGAAATAAATGTTAAAGAAAATGCTATGGGAAGGCATGTGTTATTGTAAACATAAAGATCAGAATTAACAAAAAAGCAGTTCGTATTATGATGATTTATAAATGCTAACATTTTATACTCGTTATATACCAAATGTTTTTATTAAAAGCATCATTTATGAAATGTATGTACCCTATTTTGTTTTTATCCTAGTATGTCATTGTAAAACTAGGGTATGGTCTGACAGGGTCATTGTCCTATTTGGCTAGTGTGCTATTTGTTATCATATATAATATAAGATCGAAAAGAGGAAAAAGAAAATGAGCAGCAATTGTTATTATAAGCACAGCTACAAATGTTCGTAATAAAAAAACAGGGAGTTTGTATGACTCCCAGGCCGAGATGTAAAGGTCGCTGACTTGAGATCACAGGTCCCTCACCGCTGTAGGTTCGATCCTCACATACATTGTAGGTCGAAATCTTTCATGTGAGGAAGCCATCCAGCTGGCTTACAGAAGGTCGGTGGTTCTACCCAAGTGCCCGCTCGTGCTTGAAATTATGCCCGAAGGGGTACCTGGGGTCTTCCTCCACCAATAAAGCTGGAAAAAAATCGACGAAAAAATCTATGAAAAAAAGAACTATTCCTGATTGTGCATATTTCCGGTATTATCCGAGCTTCGCTGCAAAAAATGACCAGCAGAGCTTCAAAACATTATCAAGCTGTCACATGTTAAACTGCTAGTGAGATTTAAATGAAACTTGATAGGAGGAACCATTACGATACATTGTTATCCATATCGCCTACGTGTCCAAAAGACCTCCAGAGCTATAAATAGAAAAAATCTTGTCCATCTGTCACACGTTAAACTGCTGGCAGGATTTCGACATTTCTTTACAGGAGTGATCAGTACCATCTCAGTTGTGCATATCATCGGAATGCTCGGTTTCGCTGCACAATATGACGCCAGAGCTATAAATAGAAAAATCTTGTCCGGCTTTCACAGATCAAACTGATTGGGGAATTTCAAGTAAACTTCACAGGAGTGATCAGTGCCATCCCTAGTGTTGCATATCGCTGGCACGTTCTTCTTCGTTGCACAAAAAGGCCGTCATAGCTATAGATTTAAAAATTGTGTCCGTCTTTCACAGGTCAAACTGCAGGCGCGGTTTCAACCAAGCATTACAGGACTGATCAAGGAAGGACATATTTCTTTTTTACAAAAATGCCATCTTGTTTATATTATTCACATTATTGTTTCAATATTTAACATTTCAAAGGTGCCAGTGTATTCTAGTACTTAAGAAACAAAAGACTTTGGCAACAAAGGAAATTAATTTTTTACGGTTTCTTATTTTCGTTGTTTAAAACGGGGACTTTCTGCTTAAGCCGGTGCTAGGGGCGTGGCTGGTAACTTGCACTTTACAGGACCGTCCATGAACAGGCTCTATCAAACCGAGCCTGCAACATTTTCAATTTTGCCGTGTTGGGCTTCCTTTATGCATTCTGTATTTATCTATTTTATGTTCACAGCAAATTCATTCAATCTGTTTATCATATTGAAAGGCTTTCGCAAGAGAAAGACAATATAAATCTCGAAAGAGACGATGAGAGAAATCGATATATGAATGAAAAAGCGGAAAAAGATAATGCCCTGGCAAGGTCGGTTCTTATTATATAACAATACTTTTAATGAAATATGCAAACTTTTCTATGCTCTTGTCTTCAAAGAAGCAAAGTGTTCAGATAATATGTATTAAACAATAGGATAGTCAATGTCAAAACACCCATTTAATATTAAGGAAGTTTGTTTAAGAGAAGTCAGTATATAATAATAATAATAATAATAATAATAATAATAATAATAATAATAAAAATAATAGTAATAAAAATAAAAATAACTTTATTACATAGTACAATATACACATAAAGAACTAATTAAAAGTACAAAGTACAAATATATCCTTTGATGGATGAAACAAAATGTATGGATTTACAATTATGGGCTTATTTATATTAACAAAAATTAGAAGATACATGATTACCTAAATTGAAATATATTCATTAACTTAAAACTCTTGCTATCACTACTAAATATGAAACCCAACAAAAAGGTAACCAATGAACGAGCATTTGAATGTGATATTTCCATCGCTATCCCTTTCTCTGTCGTCACAATATGAAAACCCCAGACAAAATGAACCAATCAATGTACATGCTTTGGAGTGCGGGTAACATATACCTGCACTCCAGTTAACGCACTGTGCATGTATGTATATGTATACGATTTAACTCTGTCACATTTTCAACACAAAGGTCCCCAAACTATGATACAATGACATTATATTTACTGCAAATAGATATTTTCGTGTATATTTTCAATAGTCTTCGGCAAGCAAAAGACACTATATATATGTTATTTAAGTATATGGAAACATTCTGTAAAGCTCACTGTTAAGTTAAGTCTCTCTTCATGCAAGAAATGTTATGAGAAACATAAAATCAGAAAAAGGAACTGGTTTGCAAATATACTTATTACATCATTTAGAAAACAAAATGTCTAAAAAGATTATCGTAGAACTTTAAAAGTATTTAAACTTCTGGCCTGGCGTTCACTAAGAAAAGATCATGAGCAGGATCAAACGATTTTATTTTCATTGGTTTATAACACTAGAATTAAAATGTTTGTTATACCAAATGTAAAAAAATATGCTGATTTGTAAAGAAACAAACTATTTTTGGGATACAATCGACGAATATCAAAACAAAATTGGAAATAACCAGATAAAAAAGGTCAGTTTAAGGATCAAAATCAACTTTTTTTTTTCATCAACTGTAAAATGCCAATATCTTGCAAAAATAACTATAACTTTATTCTAAAATTCATAAACATGTCATTTCAAGTCCAGTTTTATCAAGTTATTATTAAATATTAATATATGAGGATAAACAATGGATAATATTTGAATGTTTAAATTTGTCCCTGATCCTTAAATCTTTGTGAATACTTGGCCTGACGATGTGCTGCCGAGATAAACTCTCCCCGTGTGATCAGGATCAAATTTAAAACCCCTAATATTCTTCATTGTATATCCGCATAGATTAAATATCTAATATTTAATTGATAAAACTGGACTTGCAATCACAAGTTCGTAAAATTATGGAATAGATTTATTATTATTTTTGCAAGATACAGGCATTTTACAATTAATTAAAATATTGACCCTGTTCCTTAAATTGATCCTTATTTTGATCCGAATATTTTTGTATGTTTTGTTTTTCAAAAAGTGTTTGGTTTCTTTGCAAATTAGCATTCTTTACATTTTGAATATTAACCATCTGATTCTAGCAACACAATTAATTTTAGTAACATAAACAATGAAAATAAAATTAAAATCACTTGATCCTGATATTTTCTTAGTGAACACAGGGCCTGATGTACGATAACAGTATCGAATTATTTCCGAACTCCCACTTTATAAAATCTGTGAAATGTAAATTTTAGTTAAGATAAATATAAAATAGAGAGAAATAAGAATCCCTAAAGAAAGCCCAACACGGCAAAATTAAAAAAGAAAAAGGATCGGTTTGATTGAGCCCATTCATGGACGGTACTGTCAAGTGAAAACAACCGTCCACGCCCCCTAGCACCGGCTTAAGCAAAATTCAACATTTAACATGAACAGGTAAAATTTAGAATTTTGAAACATCCGCAGATGTGTTCATATTGCGGTTATCATGGAACCTTCAATGTGACACGTTAGTGCCATTCCATGAAAAGCGGCATATGGTCCCCAAGTAAAAAAATGCATGTGCCCTAAACGAGAAAACAATGGGCGGAACTAAATAAAATGTAATTTTGAAAGGGGATCTGAGGTTATGAAGCCTGCATATCACAGATATGACGTCAAAAGACAAATTTAAAAACCAGGCCACATATCCTAAGGGTGATTCAACAGTATTCAAGTTAGGAATACTGGAACCACCCAACAAGAAAGATTCCGAATACAAACAACTAAAATAACACAAGCAAAACAATTATGGCGTGCTGAACGGTCTTTTAGGATCGGAAATATAACATCCCTGATTGAATGTACGGGGCAACTTATTACGGCCTCCACACGGCACAAACAACGCTAATGTGGCGATAAAATAGAGAGAAAGAAGAGTCCCTAAAGAAAGCTCAACACGGCAAAATTGAAAATATTGCGGGCTCGGTTTGATTGAGCCCGTTCATGGACGGAACTGTCAAAATGCATGTGACCTGAACGAGAAAACAATGGGCGGAACTAAATAAAATGGAATTTTGATAGGGGATCTGAGGTTATGAAGCTTGTATATCACAGATATGACGTCAAATATGAACACTGACTGTGAATCAGAAAACCATACCGCAGCTTTACTTTTTAACAATTGAGAATCAGATCCAATACAACCGCATATAACTTTCTGAGAGTAAAACTCTGTTGCCGTTCAAAGTATGAACAAAATGACTAAATATATTATAGAACCTGCTGGATAATCCGATGCATCGGAATAAACTTAAATAAAGTTTGTGTAGGACAATATTACAAAATATACCTTTTATTACATGTATAAAGATTCATATTCTTTAACCAAACTCCGAATTCTTTTAAGCATGGAATTACAGAATTCCACTTGGAAACAATTCAAAAATGTTCTTATCTCTTTTTTCCGATATAAATATCTATTCAACCATTGTTAGATAACCTAGAAAAGGCGATATTCCACGCATTTAGCTAATCATCCCGCAAAAAAGGCGCCAACCTCTCACTCATTCAAAAGTGGATACTATTGTGATATACAGTTTTTACTATTCTTTCAGGAAAACCTAAATACGAGGGCTGTCCAAAAAATTGTGCACTGCAGTTATTGTCGTGAGAGTTCTTGATATAAAAACATTAATTATATATCACTTAAAGGGGAGATCTGTCTCGAATGAGAAAACAAAAGAAAAAAACGTGTAACCGGCATGTCGTGAAAACGAATCGTCATACAGTTACCTTGGTAACGTAATACCGGCGCACGACAAAAAATTGGGTTAATTCATTATTTTGATGCATCACGGTTTTCTTAAAACACAACATATAAGCGTTAAAATTCAGGGAAAAGTATGTGTACGTATTCCAAACGTCGCTATAAAATATTACGTCATTTGCCCTATTGTAATGTCGTAAACAAAAATTTGTGTGAGGTCGTCAATATTGTAATTACGTAAAAATGTCAGTCGCTAAACGTCTGGAAATACGGACGATCATTTCATTTTGTGCAAATATTGGTAAAACACAAACAAATACCTACAAAGAACTTATTAGGGCAAGCGGGGACAAATTCAGTGTCACCAAGGCTGGTTTTTAAATGGCACAAACGCTCTGTAGAAGGGCGAGAGTCGGTAGACGATGACAACCGGTCAGGCAGACGTCCATCCATAATGCCGGACTATGTGACGAGGGTTGTCCAATATATTCGTTCACTGGTGGGATAGTTACATGTCCGTTGCATAAGAACAATAAAAACTACAACATACTTTGCATCAATCATTCCTCTTTTGACAGTAAAACAAATAATAACATAAAAAACAAATGCCACTTTACAAGCAACAAACAATTAATACAATTACAGTGATGAACTAACCCAATTTTTTGCCGTGCGCCGGTATTACGTTACTAAGGTAACTTAATGACCATTCTTGTACACGACACGCCAGTTACCCGGCTTTTTCTTTTGTTTTCTTATTTGAGACAGATTTCCCCTTCAAGTGATATATAATTCGTAAAAGCCAAAAATGTCCATAATTCATGCATACATTAAGTAAAAACAAAAGAGATGAATGATCTAAAATTTTCAACAGCTGATCTATTGCTTTTTACACGACTTTTCAGGCATATGAAAAAATTGAATTTTATTACCATTTTCATTTATGTCAAGAATTATTCCACATAAAAAATCCACTTTAATCTTAATACACGGGTAAAGAAAGCCGTTGGTTAAGAACAAGAT